GTTAGACCTGAGCCTCTTCTGATGGAAAGAATGCGCTTTGCTCCAGTCTGCTGGGAAAATGAAAGCAGAAGGGAGGGGACTGCACCACTTCACTGGGGACTGGTGTTTCCCGGGGAGGTGAGGCTAGTCCCGTGGTGGTGGCTGTTGTTAGCGTGCTGATTCATGAGTCAGGGTGGTGAGAACAGTGTGCAATCTCTGGGGGAGGAAATGGCTGGGTTGCTGTAGGGAGAAGGAACACTTTCTGTAACTGCAGGATGTGTGGATGGAGCATGTAGATAGCATATCTGTAGCACATCACTTAAGTGCCCTGGTGTTGTGAGATAAGGATTTACTAGAGGACTAAAATAGGATGCGAAACTGAGGTTTTGTGTCTTGTGCTCAAGAAAAGCAGCTTTTTTTAAAGTCATTGAGAACAGTCCTCTGTCTGCTTCACTATATTCAAATCAAGTTTGGTTTTTAAAATATGAAAGAATAGTGTTATAGGAGCCAAGTCCCTGCCTATTTTTAACAACAAGGCTAACTCCCAGTTAGTTGGAGTTGGAGGAAAGGGTTGATCATTTAAATGCAGATTAGAAGAAATAACAGACTAGTTGGAAGAGCACAAAAGGTGAGATATGCTGTATATTGAAGGTGTGGCACAGAGGTCCTTGAGATCAAGGCAGCTGGTAGGCTGAGAAAGCACAAACTCACCTCGTGTATTTGTGCAGCACCTTCTCAAGTTCATGTGTGTTTGTGGTGCTGTTCATCCTCCATCCGGATAATCTCCCAGGAGATAAGAGCATTTACTCTTGCTTGTTGTTCAGTCAGCAAGCAGAATATTTGTTCTAACACAAAAAGCCTGTTTCCAGTGTAAAAGTACCGCGTCTACTTCTCCCATTAAAAAATTGTAATGCTGCTTTGATATGTAGTAGGAGTTTGAAATGGAAGATGTAGTTTGAAATGAAATAAAACTTTTGCATAACAGTCACCTGAACAAAAGTTCAGCTGGTGTAAGCTAGTAAAAATTGCAGATTTCACTATGTGAGAGTTTACCTAGGTCTCAAAATCTAACAAACTAATAAGCTTTGGCTGTGCCAGTGTGTGGAAAGTGAGGGTACAAAATGAAGCAGAACTTAACTCTCCTCCTTCCACATGTGTGTAATAATGCTTGACTTAGTTACACAGCCATCCGCTGTCACTGTCAGAAAAGCTGTATCTCATTTGGTTTACAGGATGGACTGTGCTCTGAAAGGAGGCAGCCGTGTATCTTTTCCTGTTGTACGTCCCTATAATGGTATTTCTGTGGCATTAATTTTGTCCACTGAATGTGAAATGGCTAATGCCTGACTTCCCACCTCTCCTTCTTCCTACTGCTCTCCAGTGCTTTTCACCCAAGTGTCTGAGTTTTACAAGACTGATTTCCAGATACTATTATGAAAAGCACCTGGAGTTGTAGGCAGGATTTGTAAAATTACATAAATGCCATTAATGTGGGGTTAGCAACAAAACCTCAAAATAGTTATTCGAACAAAGACATCCTTTTATCTACATTTAATCAACTTCTGTAGCTCGATATTAAGAGGGAAAGTTGGGTTCTTCATAGAAATAATGTGGCTTTTGCCTTTACTATCTTACTGTGACTGTCTTAAGGCAGTTTTCAGAATAGGGAATTCTGAAAGCTTTAAAAAGACAACTTTATGTTGCATTTTTAGCTGCAGTAGCAGATCGTGCTCATAGACAAGAGCAGTAATTTAATATTCTGTTAAGTTTGGAAATTGAAACGGAATCATCATGGCTTTATCTGAAAAGAAGGAAATATGTGGTTAAACGGTTTTGCCTACAGTCTTAGGTGATTTCCATTCTCTAGAAAGAGGAGAGGGGGAAAAGGAGTCTAAATTCCTTTCTCTAAAATAAAGAGCACCAGTATGCTTTATTGCGTGTTTTAATGAAACGTTCCTGCCTAAGAGCATGTGGTTTCAATATGAACTATACTAAATTTGAATGATTACATAGTAATTTCAAAACTTCAGTATCTTAGAATCATAGAATCACAGAATGGTTTCGGTTGGAAGGGACCTTAAAGCCCATCCAGTGCCACCCCCGGCCATGGGCAGGGACACCTCCCACTAGCCCAGGTTGCCCAAAGCCTCATCCAGCCTGGCCTTGAACCCCTCCAGGGATGGGGCATCCACAGCTTCCCTGGGCCACTGCCTCACCCCCCGCACAGGAAAACATTTCTTCCTAATGTCTAGTCTAAATCTGCCGTCTTTCAGTGTATACCTGTTACCCTCATCCCCTCACTACACTCCCTGATAAAGAGGGAGTGAGAAAATCTTTATTATCTGAGTTTTGATGTTGGTAGAAATGCAGACCTCCTGAATCCAGTGGTGTAAGGGTTTAAGGGCTCTGATTTGGGAGCAAAGGCAGAGTCCTTTATCTGGAAAGGTCAGGCTGCGTGCCAGTGCTTCACAAGTTGCTGTGTCAGCAGCTCAGCTGTTGGCCAGTGTGCTTAGGGGCAGATAGCAGACATCAGGAATCCCATCGGCTCTATCAACTTGTTTCTCTTTTCCCCTTTGAGTCCTGAAGACTTTCATGGAATTTCCAGCACTGCTCAGACTTTCAGGTGATGCGTAAGACATTGCATTTGAAGCATCGTCAGCTGCATCTGAGCTACTTGCTGTTTGCACTGAGCTATGGAGCTTGCACAAAGCTTGCACGTAATGTGCTAGCAGCTGCAGTGACTAAGGCAAGCAAACAGCTACTGACACGAGGCAGTTAGTGTCAGCGTAGTATTTCTAGTCAAAGAAACAAACAAAAAAATGCCTCATTCTAGGCACTGAAAAGCTATATTTTGTCATTTGTGGGAAGTCCTATGTAACTTTTTGATTTCCCAGGCTTTTGTTGTGGGCTAGGAGGGTAGGGGAGGCTAGGCAAAAGGTAAACCCTAAGTGAAGATCAACAAAAGGCTGCAAAAAGTAACTAGCATTGGGGTACAGGCGGTTCTGACTTTACAGACCCATCATAAGGTTATGCTGCTTTTTTTTTCTTTTGAATTATTCTGCATTCTTCTTAGAAGAGAATGGCTTTTGATTCTAATAGCCTCCTTAACTGTCTTTCACTTCTAAACTAAATGCATCTATTAAATTGATGGTGTGTGCTTCGTTTGTTTCTTGTGAGATGAATGAGTGAAGACTGTGCTGACAGGGAGTAATGTTGTGTTTAGTATGTTTGAGGTGATTAATCTTGAAATGAGGGCTGTGGGAGGTGGTTTCCTGGTAGTCCACATCTTACTCATGCCGGCTCTGACGCCTGTGCTCACAAAGGCTGTTGGCCGGTAGATCTGCACACGGCGTAGTGTCGTTACGGAAGACATAGGTGTGATGCCTTGCATAGCTAGTCTGTGAATACAGGGCCAGAAAAGCAGTCTGTGCTCTTCTCAGCGGAGCGCTGATACGGAGAAGAGATGCTTGAACTAATCTTTATTTCTTCATTATTGAGCTACTGCATGTTGTCCTAATTAAACTTGTAGAGTATGTCACTTCATACTGAAGTGTGGTAGGTTGTAAAAACAAAGTTCAGAAATCAGATGTGTGTTTTCTTTGGCAAATAACATTACTTTGTCAGTTGGTTTCTTGTTCTTTGTTCCCTTTCTTCCAGTCACAGATTGCCTTTCATGTCGTTCAGTGCTGAATTTTACCAGGACAACCTTTGCGTAAGGAAGGCTTGCCTTCCTTCTGTACCTCCCGTATCTCTAAGCCTTTTCTTTTTCTGCTTGAGTGGCCTCAGCTGGTAAGTGTGGAGCTGAGCAAGTGGGCACAGTCGGGGTGCTTTGAAATGAGCTGTAGTGCTAAGCATCAGTTATACTTCAGTGAGGATTTGCCAGGGGATGAATTTAGAACTGTTAAAAGAGGTGCTGTGTGAAAATACCCCTACCTAGCTGGGCCCCTCCTGAAGACTGAGAAGACTGCACTGGGTTTTGAATATCTAGGCAGTCTGAATCTGCAGTGGGTGCAGGCCTGCCTGCATGGTTTGCCTCTCTGGTGATTCAGCATAGACAAAGTTCTGTTCCACGAGGGGTTTTGACTTGCCAAGTAGGCTGAAATAACTACTGAAAGTTGATTATTTCCCCCCCCCCCTCTACAATGTAGGTAATTTTGCTGTGGGTTTGGTTTTTTTTTTAAGGCTGATGTCATTAGGTGTAAGGTGTCAAACTCATTTAGTGTGGTATTTGCTTCTTTTTAAATTTCCTGTATGTAGATTAGTCTCTGGTCTTTAGAAGGGGAAATAGTCTTGCTTTAAATCACTGTATCATCTACCGTTATTTAGACAGAGGACTTTAAACTCCTTCATTATTCCTTGCTGCAGCTGAGGGCACTGTGCACGTTAATGCTGTAGGTGGGTTTTGATCATCTGGTGGTGTTTCTTTTGAAAAGCCTTTCACAAATGCTAGAATAGACACGGGAAGGCTTTCTTATTTTTAGCATGGTGTGTATATATAGTGTGTTTTACTAAACTCTGACTAGTTTGTAAGTTTGAGGAGGACTGAAACCGGTGCTCGTTCTTTGTTGAAAGAGCTCGTGTATCAGGGTAAAATTCAGCGCTGCTTGGGAGTAGGAAAGAATGTGTTTGTTTAACCATTTAAATCTGCTGTGAGGGATCCTCCCTGTCTGGCAGCATGCCACTTTCTTTGTGACATGAAGGTAAGCTGACAAGAAAAACAGTTACTTTAACTGAAAGCAGTAACAGAATTCTAACCAAATCCCAGTGCACGCCAGTTTATGAAATGAGAACACAGTCTGAATTTATTCTATCCAGTACAGTAGGCAAAAGTTACAGCACTCACTTGATTAAAATGAGTTCCTGGAAAGGAGGCAGGAGAAGCTGTTAAGGAGTCTCATGTTACCAGCTGGTTTGGATGTTCTTCTAAGGATACATATAGAAGCTTCCTGCATCACTATTTTCATGCATGTGTGTAAATGCTTTCAAATTCATAGCATGTGTTTTGCTTTTATTTCAGGTGTACTTGAAAGCACCTATGATTCTCAATGGTGTCTGTGTAATCTGGAAAGGCTGGATAGATCTACAGAGACTGGATGGTATGGGCTGCCTGGAATTTGATGAAGAGAGAGCACAGGTAAGGCAGTCTGCCCATGGCTACTGTGCCTTAGACATTTGTTTGTTCTTCTGGAAGGAAGCATGTAGTCAGGCAGTGATCATGCATTCTAATTTTCTTGTTTTCTGCCTCTACTTGGAGTATGAATTCTAAAGAAAACTTACAGTGTAGAAGTTCAGAAATATGTTTGTAGCTAGTGTTTTAATTAGATAAAAACATTAGTGGCAGGAATCATCTGTAGTTTACAACTTTGTGGGTGATTTGTCACTGTTACTATGCTACAGAGTAGGAAATGTTAAGTAAGCTGTGTCTGTAACTTGTGGCAATTTAGCTGGCAAGTTTATTTTAGCTGTTTCCTTCAGGGTGGTTGGGTTTTTTTAAGTAGCTTTTTGTTGTATTGCATATGCAGGGGGGGGAGGATGAATAGAGTTTTTTCATTTGTTCTCTAACAGTGGTAAACTCTGCTCTGTTAAGGTATGGCAGCTTCTGAGAATTTCCTATCTGCTTGCTTCCTACCACCAAAGTGACTGTCTAGCAGCTGAATCTTTGGACACTCACAAGAACAACATAAACAGAGAGGAAACGACTTCTTAAGTACATACCACATATCAGGGTTCACTTCCACAGCTGTAGGGTTCCTTACTTAGTCAGACTTGAGACAGATCTTTGCTTTTGAGATGTAGCTTGGTAACAAAGCTACTTGACTGATATTAAAAGCTGCTGCACCAGCTTTGTGTGAGCTGCCGTGCAGATAACCTGCCTCTGCAGTGGAAAGTAAGTTGGATGCAGTAACATCAGTTACCAGAGTTATGATTTACAATCTGGATTTTGTGGTGAACTCTGCGGTTCACTTCTGTAGTTTGATTATTTAGAAATGTTAGAACTATGTGAAGGCATGGTCCGCAGTGCTTCTGAATACAAGGGTTTGTTAAGCATCTTGTTACTGTGACTATGTTCTGGCTTAAATAGAAATACTTCATATCAAAACAGTGCCTTTGAAATAGTCACAGCCCTGTGTGCTTTCTTCAGGATGCCTAGAAGGAGAGAGGGTATGCTGTTCTGAGAATAGTCCCCCCACCTTTTGTGCTAATCCAGGAGAAGAGCTGTGGAACCAAGCTTTTACTTGGATGCTACTGTTGGCTGTGGCAGTCACTTCTTCCAAAGCTCGGTGTGGGCAGGTAGAGCTAGCTGTGTTCCTGTTGCAGCTGTGTGCTCTTTGGAGAGCGAGTAACAGCTGCAGAGTCCGTTGATTAGCAGCCTGTAGACTATAATAGCTTACCTGGCGAGGTCACATGTAGACCCCGGAGGGCTGTGCAAGATAAATCCCAAGGCTCTTGATTTATGACTGTTAAGTCTGATACCTAGAGGAGACTGATTTGAACGTGCGCTCAGAAGGAGATAGTGTCACGCTTTTCCAGTATTTGATAGTTCCTGAAAGAAGTGGGCACCCTTCCAAAAAGCAGGGTGGGCAGGTGACCTGTGAGTTCAATTTTTCTCTTTTTTTAATTTCCTCATAAATGTTTTTGCATGCTCTTGGATTATTTTAGTTTCCTGATGTGTATACACTGTTTTAACTACACTTAAGTATTCCTTTCTGTTGTCTCAGAAAGTGTTTGTGCACTGAGCATGTGATTTATTCTTTCTTTTTTTGTGAGGGGATGTATGCGTGTTCTCAGGTGTCAGTGCTGTCTTGAGGTTTGAGTACTGGGTGCTGAGCTGGAGGTATTACACGGTGTGTGTCTGCAGATGTTTGCATCAATTGCAGGTCTGTAATTTGTTTTCAGCTTGTGCTTCTTGGCGATTATGAGGAGGTTGTTGGTCATCTTGTTTGCTACAGTAGTGGTACCTAAGAGTTACTGGTGCCGTAAGGCACCATCCAGACACAGAGAAGAAGCTGCACCCTTGATGTTGCATAGTGGGTTTTATGTGTGTGTGTGTTAGTATTGTAAACATTTGAGCAATCTCTTGCACTCTTCTGTTTCCTTTTTCCTCTGTCTGTCATTTTGCTTCCTTTTTTAAAACTGTTTTAATATTGCTAGCGGCAATTGACCTAACTGCTGACTTCAATTCCAAAATAACACTGATGTCAGCATGGGTTTAGGTGCCTATGGTACCCACTGTCTTTTTTTAAGAAGAGGTCTTATTGGCATGCACACATCCTTTACTCCCATTTTCTGGAACGCTTGCCTTGTACAAATGTAGTACTTTTGCATTTTTCTGTCTCTTACCACTCTGTACTAATACTGGGATGAGAAAAAGTTTTTCTTTGCTGCCACGCTTTGGAAATGATACTGTCCTTCACCAGATTAAAAAATATTTTAGGAAGAAAAACCACATGTGTAACAATAAAGTACTTTAATTGTAAGTATTAAGCTAGTGTTCTTTCTATTTAATTCACAGCATATTAATGTCTTACTACTAAGCAGTCTTACTTTTTGTTACTGGAGACCCCGGTTCAGCTGCTGGTTCATACTTCAGTGGACTAACACACGCAAAGCTCTACATGCATGCTTGAATGTCTTCCCTGTTTGGGGCCAAAATTTCCCTGGGTTTGATATTTATCTCTAGTGTCATTAAAAGGCTGTTTCTGTCTTCAGGACTTTTCTCTCCTGCAATAGTGCGTTCTTGCTGTGTAGGTTCTGTAGTTAGGAATGGTTGGTCTCATAAAGTCTTCTGCCAGGCTGCTGCGGGCAGTGGGGGTGTATGGGGATGTACATGTATGGGTGTGTGTCAGCTTCTCTCTTGGTTTTTTTCTGGGTTGGGGGATTGTTCTGTTCTCATGTTGATATGGCTCATGTTTTGCTTGTTCTTTTTCTTAGTAGATTCATACCAGGAGCATTTTTGGTGATTAAAACTAAGACGGGTAAACGGTTGGGTTTTCATAAAGCCAAATTTGCTAGGTTATAATTACTAGATTTGGGTGACATTTGAGAAGAGGTCTGTTAAACTCCTGTTCTACAAGATCCTAAGACATTTGTTAATTTCTGTTATAACACATCACCAAGAATAGAGCAGTTTTGTTTTTTTTTTTACTTAAAAAAATGTTCTGATGCTTTATTTCTCAGACATAAGTAAGCCAGTGTTTCAGCTGCCAACATGTGTTCATTCTAGATGTTGACATACTGGTTCTTCTGTGAATTTCTAATTAGTTTCTTTTGGTTATAATTTCTTTAAAATATTCTGTCTGAAGCTACATATTAGTCTTTTTATTTTATGACCACTTTAAATTATGGTAAAAATACAAATTTTTTTTTTTTTTAAAAAGAAAAATCTGCTTTCATATAAGTCTGTTTAAAAAAAAAAGGGGGGGGTAATAAAGATGTATGTAGCTTCTGTAAATTAGAAATAAGGTAGCTTTTCTGTGGTCATTGCGAGACAAGCGTATCTACTCTCTCCTTCTGCATTATTAAGAACAAACTTACTTTCCACTGTCTGACTTTGGCTGCTGTGCATTGCATAAATATTAAGATAGCTATAAAGGGCCAAATTCTGCTTTTGAAAATGGTAGGTAGTGTTAAAATGTTATCTTGCTGGCAGCTTTAAACATTGCCTTTCAGCCTAGCTTCCTGGGGACCTGGCTGTGCGGAGCTCCGGATTGGCAGATGTTTGTATTGAACTGTGTTAGGCCACGAGGGGCACTCGTTCACATCATTTCACAAAGTAGCTTCAGGGAGCACGATGGTGCCGATGGCAAAAAAGGCAATTTAACATTCTCTCAAACTAGAGATGCTTTATCTTAAATTAAAAAATTTATGCACTTAATCCCTCGGTATATTAAAATTTAGTTGAGTTCTCAACATGTTTTTGTCCTCTAACAGTCAAGGTTAGGATTTATTTATTTATTAAATCTGTCAAATTGAAAATAACATTTGTGTGTATGTGGGAATCATGAGGAGAGTTAGTAGCAATTGTAGCTGAGGAGTTAGGAGGAGGGAGAAGCACTACAGTTTATCCCTTACTGTTTTGTGGAACCTCTTTAGACTTCTCCATTCTGGACATTTTAAGAGAACAGAGGGAACAGAGCCACCTATTTTCATTTTGAGCAAAATACGTGCTAAAAGGTCTCTAAGAGAAGTAACTTGTAACCTAATTAATAATAGCTTAGATATTAATAACAATTTGTTTAAAACCTTTTCTAATGGAAAATATTATTCAAAGGATTTTTTTGGGCATTAATTTATTAAATCTATTCCTGTGCATCAGCCACTGTTGAAAATAAACAATGGGGCTGTTGAAAACCTGCGGGTTTCTCCTGCATTGTATGTGAATGTGTACAAATGAGTGGAGCAATAACTTCTGTTTTCTGCTTTCTTATGAATTTAAATGTAAATAATTTAAATGAGACGTGAGGATTACAGGTGTCCGTACTGGTGCACATTCAGCAGATTTTGATAAAATGGAAGATTTAGTTGGTTTGTAATTTAGATAATACTTTTTTTTTTAATGAAACAGAATTAAATTGCCATAATAATCCTAGTGAACTCTATCTAAATATGAGACATTTTTAAGACAGTATCTGCAGGTATAAGGAGAATAAAATGTGTGTTGCCTCTTTCGTATAACCTTTGGGAATTCCTAGCTTAAAAAAAAAAAAAGCAGCATTTTAAAACACTTTTGAAAAGCAGTTATCCTTTGAAAATGTATTTTAGTAGTAGCTGCTTTGCAGTTTTGGTGAAGTTTTGATGAAGGTGAGTATTATTTCATTAACCACTTGCTGGAAGTCAGCTGTATTCTAGCAGATTCTGTAGGACACACTTGCCTTTGCTGTGAAGTGATCCCTACTATTTAGAAATAAAAATGTGATCTGGTAGAAGTGGGGGTAGCCTTTTGTGTCACTCTGTCTTGTCTGGTTTGGTAGCAGGAGGATGCATTGGCACAACAAGCGTTTGAAGAAGCTCGGCGAAGAACTCGTGAATTCGAGGATAGAGACAGGTCTCATCGGGAGGAAATGGAGGTGAGGGTTTCACAGCTGCTGTCAGTAACTGGTTAGTACTTTCCCAAAACTTAAGATTGTTTCTATTTATTTGTTTGTACAATGTCATGTGTTTTCTGTTTGCTGTTTGATGTTGTCATATAAAAATTGCAAGATGCATTGTTTTTAACTCTTGTAAAATGAATTTCAAGTCTTTGAAGTTTTGATAAGCATTCTCTGATTTTATCCTTTTTTCCTTTCTGTAGATGGCTTTTTCTGTGGGTGCTTAAGCTGTAAGGATACATTTGTTCACAGAGCTGCCACGTCTCTCTCAAATGATTCTTTAATAGTAGAGAAAGGGATCTTTTGCCCTGTGCATTACTCATGAACTCAGGAAAGGCTTCAGGAGCTGCAGGCACATAATTTTGTATCTTGCTATCCCGTGTTGTGGGAAACATTACCAGGGAATTTAATCAGATGCCAGAGTCTGCTTTCTTGTACAGGCTAGTTTTATTTTCCTCTCACCTTTTTCTTACTGGCGAGGAGTCTTACTCCTGCGTTTCAGTGGTGCAGTTCCCCTCTATCTTGCTCTTTGCTCCTTTAGGGCCCCATAGTCCTGAATCTTGTTCTTTCTTGATGAGAGCAGAAACTACTGGGATTGAGGAAAGAGGAGCCAGAAAAGGGAATGGAAACCAGCTGCTCTGAGATGTCAGAAAGGCAAGAGCTGTAAGAGGACAAGTAATACTTAAGGAGAGTTGGCAAGTTAAGGCAGGCTGTAGGTCAGGCAGAGAATAGGGAGAAAACAAACGCTTTTCATTTCTTTCCTTTCCTAACTCTACTTTCCTACTTCCTGTTTTACCAGTACAGCCTGACTTTATTATAATCAAATGTGACCGATCTGCTGCTTCTCAGGCTTTTAGAAAATTTGATTATTGTTATTGGTAAGCTGCTTTTCTTCCGGCAACCTTACTGGTAATTGAGATGATTAGACAGACTTTCTTCCCTTCCAAGTACAAATGGAAGACACAGCATGAGAGTGAGAGGGAAAAGGCAGATGCAGAGAGTAGCATCTTTCACTTTGAAGGGATGGTTGATGTATGTCTCCTTGCAAACACTGATGTAGCCGGGTCAGATGTCAGCTGTAGCAAAGGTGAGTCCTCACTGCCAGTGGATCCTTGGAGCAACAGCTGGATTACCTGAACCATTCTGTCTCCATTGCAGCACAGCTGGAAACCTGCTTGTGACTTTGGCTCAAAAGGAGGGTAGAATTAACTTAAAGCTGTTCATGAAGATCTGTGGCAGTCTGCCTTAACATTAACAACACAGCAGGAACTTTAAGCCTGGCCTTATGTCCTTGGCCTTGATTTACTTCAAGCTTTATTGATTTATTTTCCTTTATTGTGCCCTTCTTCCCCACCCCTGTTAGAAAAAAATGAGACTTCCTGACCCAACTTCTGGAGTTCAGTGAGACTTATTCTTTTCTCCAAGTGTAGAAAACACTTGTTTGCAGCTAGGATGGCAAAACCTCTTTCAATTAACAGTGGGATGGAGGTAATATCGAGCATCTGGGGCTTCATGACAGACATCAAAACTTGTGACACTTGAGACTCAAAGAACAACATCCCTGGCCAGTTGCAGGAGCTGGATTCAATAACTTCTGAGAAAATTCTTGCTTTTAATAAGACAGCAGGCAGTTGTTGTTAAATGATGTCCTTATTAACTGCCAGTATCCCATTTTCTCTTAGAACAACAATAGTCATTGTCTCGGCTCTACAACACTGGCATAGATCACCTACAGAAAGGAAGAAGTGGAAAAATTACTGACTTGAAATACATTTCAGCAGAATTAAAAACATTGTTGAAGGTTCTTCAAATTTATGTGGTGTCAAATGTGAGGTTTTAATAATTGCAATACATTGTTATGCACACTATTTTTTATGTTGCTGTATGTGTTTTAATGTGTACGACCAAGAGATTTCTGCCTCAATTACTTGTAGTTCTATAATTGGTTTTTACATTTCAGCTTTCATTTTTGTGTTTGGGTTAAGATGTCCTGGCCACATATCGGGAATGTTTACAGATGAGCTTTTACACTCTGGATCCTAGGACTGCATAAAAATCAGGATCTTTTGGGGTGGGGCAGGGGAAGAGAGTGGAGACAGACTTACAATCTGTACAGCCTAAGGAGGAGTCAGGTTTCCAAACCTTTCATTGTTTCCCTGACTTCCACTTTGGTTGTATTCTAATGCAGCATTCAGGTAGAATCAAATGACCTTTAATCAGTAAGCACGTACGTAAAGTACTCAAATCATCATACAGGATTTTCAATGGACAGTAATGCGTAAATGTGCATTCCCGTGTTTGTTGTATTTAAGGCCTGTACAGAATTTTCCAGTGCTCACATGCTTGGTCAGCTTGGAAATATGGTTTGTCAGATGTGCTTTTTGATGATTGTATTGCTGACAGCTGTGAAGACACTAGTCCAAACTGTGTAATTTCAGTGGGTCAAATAGTATTTTTGGTTGCACTACACAGATGGTACTTGAGGGTTTTTGTAGGGCAGCTAGAAGAGGTGGGTTCTGCGTGTGCTGAGTGAATTTTTACCTATGTTACACTACACATGGATGAAGATCCCCTCAGCATAATCTTTGTAGTGTGATATCTGTACACTTTTCATCATTACTAAAACTTGAGTTTTTTTCTTTCCTGCTAAGCTTGGCATGGACAGTTCAACTCGGAGTTGCCAGCCCTGGAACACGATCTCATCAGTCTGAATGATTGTTTTAGGAATTGCAACACTGTATAAAATCAGGATATTTCAGACAGTAGAATTACAGCTGAAATGCCTTTAATAGAGACCAGATTCTGCTTCAGTGGGGGAGGGAAGGGGAATCCTGCAGTATTCCACCCACTCCTACCCAAAACAGAGGCGCCAGTTCTTTGGAAACATTTATCCATCCAAAGCCTGGCAGCATATGAAAATGATCAGATTCAGTTCTTTATTTATACAGCTTTTTGTGTAGCAAAGATTCCCTATTCTGAGTCTCTCTGTAGACTTCGGGAAAAAAAAAAAAGTGGTATATCCTTGCCTGGGAGTGATCAGTGAGGGCTGTTGAAAACTGTTAAAATGGCTTGTATGTGGCAGCTGGATATTAGAATGGTGATACTTTGGAGGGGGAAAATACAGCAAGTGCAGTAACAATTTAGGAATAATCACTATACTAAATTTAATTTTTAAATATTCTAAAAAAACCCCAATGAGCTTAAAAAAAAACCAAACAAACAGAAAAACAAACAAACAAAAAAAAACACACCACACTGAAAAAACCCCCTCAGAGTGCTGTCAGGATTTTTGCCTTCTGTTCATCACCTAGGATCCCTTCCATTGATAGCTTCATTAACACAGCATTTTGATGAACATATTCTTTGCATCTGAGGGCAGAATCAGTGGTGGTTGCTAGGCTGTGCTTGAATTTCCAGAAGTGATCATATATTTTTGCTATTGCAGCATTCCTCTAATGTAAATAGGGTGTGAGTGGATTTGGGAATTTTCATTGAAGTTTTTAAGTGCCTCTGAGTTGAACTGCGTTCTTTTATATTTTTAACGTAGTTTCGGGTTTGGATACAAGATGCTTTGGGGTTTTTCTGTCAATTTATGTAACTTGGTCACATCAGATACCGCAAATCCTGCCTCACTGTTCAGGAGTCTTTTGTTTCAAAGACGCTTTTGAAGTCAGTGAGTGTTTTTAATGCCTTCAAAATTAGTAATGCATTCCAACGGCTTTCACATCTACAAAAACATTGGAATGCTGAGACAGTAAGTGTTCAATGATGCACATGAAGACCTTATCCTCAGTTAAAGACTACTGCAAAAAATAAATGATTGCATGAAGCTTCATAAGTTCAGGAACACTTATCTGCTTTGCAAATTTGCACCTCTTAATGGCTTCATACCGGTTGAAGGCAAAGTTCTGTTTCCATAAGCAAGTACCACACCATGGGGAACTGGTCCGAGGCCATTACTTCAGGGGTGTATTCTGGAACTGGTGCCACTGAACAGGTACATGACCTTGAAGCATTTCCCTTTGCCAAGCTAACAGAACAGAGCGAGGAGACCGAGGGGATGCTTAATTTTCACTGACTCTTTATCCCCTTGCATCTTGGTTGAGGGAGTGAGTACTAGTGTTCTCTTTTGTTTGGTGTGGTTTCAGTAGAATGACCAGAGTCAAGAAGTGTTCTGCAGAAATTACTGTGAGGTTGCTGTCCAGACGTGCTTGAATCTTCCAGTAAAAACTTGTGCTTTTTATTCGGTGTTCTGGCAGTAGTAACATCCCGCAAAATGCACCGTCCTCCTCTGATTGCTTTATCTAGGGGCGGGTTGGGTCTCTTCTCAGTTTTCCAATGCAGTTTGTTCAACCAGCATTTTTGAAATGTCATTTTTCTATTTTGTGTTGGTTTCCCGTGTTACTGCTATGCTCTTTATTTTAGCAACACGGTGAGTAAAGAAGCAGAGTGGTTTGCTCTTTCCTGAAACAGTCTAGTCTACTGATCTGTTTACGGTCCTGTGCTAAATATAAATTACATTAATGGCTAAGCAGAGCCATTCTAGGTAACTGCATGAAATTCCCATTTTAAAAACCTTCATTTTGCTGGAACAAAAACCCTGCTTTGAACATTTGTTTCTTCCACTAGAAATCCCTCTCAAGACAAAGAACCAAAAAACCCCACACCCCCTTTAAAAATTGCTGGAGGAAAAATTTACCTCCATTTTAAATACTCAGTCCTGCCCTAGGTTTCTACATATTTGCACTGTTTGGGAATTATGAGTTGAAGTGGGAGAGATGCATTTCATTTAATTGTGCTGAAGTTGTGAACACTTAGAAAACAAGATTTTGCTACAGAAATCTAAACAGTTCGCAATTGAAACAAAATCAAGTAGTAGGACTAACTTCTGTATTCTTCCAGGGTTGTAGACAGTAAAGTTATTCTGCTGCCTTTCTTTAAAAAAAAAAAAAAGGCATTTTAGAGTAAACTGCTAGTGT